TTAATAAGAAAGGATATGTTTAATTAGTTGTGATAAAGGGAGTATATTAAATTAATTAGTGTGAATGGTAGACTATATGTAAGAAAAAATTTTGATAGGTTTTATATTTTATAGATTTGAGGTGAATAGGTAGATTTGGTTAGTGAAGTTAGTAGATATTTTCATTACAATGTTTTTCAAATTATTGTGATCAGCAAAATTCATAAATTACATATCACAAGAAATCTAGAAATCAGGATTTTAGTAAAATGCAAGCCTGTAATTGGCTGAAAATTTTATCAGCCAAATGTATTGTGTATATTATATATAAAATTCTAATATTAAATATTTTTAAAAGTTTGATTGAAGATTTCTCAACAATAGCTCAGTCAATTTTAATGTTTAAGACCATTTTCGAATCCTATAAGTCTTCAGATGTTGAAAATAACTTTGAATATCGAAAACGTCCAGCTATTATCAAGAGTGAAGTTTGAGAAAATTTAGTAAAGAAAACCAAATAATTTTAGTATTCTTTGATCTGACCACTTCAAGATATAGTATACTAATGAATGATACACAAGAGAATCAGAATTTGACAAGAAATTTTTGGAATTTTACCTTTTTAAATAGAAATTTTTTAAAAAATAATGAATTTAATAGAATTTTATGGATTTCTGTGTGATGAATGATCATCTGCTAATCACAGTTATTTGAAAAGCATGATGATTTGGTAAGAAAAGGTAAGTTCTGTTGATATTAAAGTCGTAATTTTTTAAATATTTAATATATATATTTAGTAATTATAGAATTTAACTATTTTATTAGGAATTAGTATATTTGTTTATTAGACGTATTACAATTTTAAGTAGAAAGGTTAAATTTATTAAGTTGGTTAATTAAATCTAATAAATCAAGATACATGCTAAGTTATAAAATTTTTTATAATGTGATTTTTGTTATCTAAATACTAATTAATATTATACTAATTAGATGAATCCAAAAAGTCTAAATAATTATTTGGCATTGCCAAATTGTTTGAATCTGAATATGAATTGTTGCTTGTTGATGCAAATGGAATTGTTGAAGGCATGGTATCTTTATAGGTATCTGGCTTTTTACCTTTATCAATA